CCGTCTGAGCCGCCGCCCCCCCCGTCTGGGCCGCCCCCCCAGTGTGAGTGTGGAGGAAGACGGAGAGTGCGTAGACGTAGCAGCAGGTGCCGGCGGTGACGAAGACGAGATGGTCGGCGACGACGATTCGGGTGACAGGTGCGACATGGGGTAGGACTAGAGTGGTTTGCAACGCGCCGGTCTTTAGCGCCCAAGCCATCAAGGTGCCTTTGGCGTGGCCTGTGACCAAAAGGTTCTCAGTCACGTCGAAGGCGCTCGGCCACTCCGGGACCGTCGTGCGCATCTTAGACTCACCCAACTGATCCAGCGCGTACACACGAAACAGAGGCTTCGTCTGGTGGAGACTCACGTACAGATTCAACCGCGCACACACGCGACCCGCACCTGCCAAGAATGCTTCTCCTTCACACAACATACCCAACGTCGCCGCGTCGTAACAACGCAGCGGACGACTGCCACTGGACACAACCAGCACCTCCCGCATTTATCCTCGGATAATTACTGTTTCGTTGGGGAGTGTCCACTAACGCGTTTTGTGGGCGGCCGAGGAACACAGTAACGTGGAAGGTTAGTTCCGACCATGCAGGGCTAGTTACAACAGTCAAAGAAAGGTTTGATTACACCGGGTAAGGTTTACCACAAGATTAGCGGTGTCTAGCTAAATAAGAGCCCTGCGGTCGAATCCTTGGGCTCAGGAGTATTGCACTCCGTGGAATGTGCCCGAGGTTTACTCGTCGACCGAAACTTCTCGCCGAGGTATACTCGTCGCCGAGGTATACTCGTCGCCGAGGTATACTCGTCGCCGAGGTATACTCGTCGCCGAGGTATACTCGTCGCCGAGGTATACTCGTCGTCGAGGCTTACTCGTCGCCGAGGCTTACTCGTCGGTCGGTATTCCAAAATCGATAACGTACATGCGTGCGAGGGAGTTGTAGCCACGCACATCTCCGGAGCGCACAAGGTTACCCGCATCACAGTTCAACGGCGAGTCGGCATTGGGGTCACCGAGCAAGGCGATAATTGCTCGACAAACGTAATGCAGCGTCCACGCCGGGGTCCAATTGTTCTTGAGAACGTCCAGGCAAATCTCGCCGGTACTCCACTTGACATTTGGGTGGAAAACGGGGGTCACAAAACTGACCTCTGGCGAACTCAATGGGTAGTTGCTGGGACAGTCGATCGACAACCGAAAACGATATCCTTCAAATGGACTATCCGGTGGCCCGGAAATGACCGCCTCCCATTTGAACAATGACTCCTCCCTACAGCAACAACAACTAGTCCCTTATCAGCCCCCCCCCCCCCGGGGATCCACAGCTCCCGGGATCGACACCTTCGGGGGTCGTCTACCCATCCTTACTTGACTCTTAGTGAAATCTCTGTGTCGTCCTGGTTTTTGGCGTTCTCCTTAATTTCACGCAACAACCGACCACAAGTATCCATTCTTCCTTGGTTTCAAATAATATACTTCCATCACCCAGACCCACATGGATAGTTCGATCTCTAAAAAAAAACCACCCACAAGCACTCGCAACATACACCTTGCGGCTGCTCGAGATCTGTCACTTGTTATATTCCGGCAAAGTCGCAAACTTCCGCCGCTCGAGTTCGGCATTTTTGCCAATAGCATCCAGGAGATCTTGTGGTATAAAACCTACAGAATCCAATGGGTAAAAGAGCTACTGGGAGTTTAGGTCGAGAGGCCTTTTGGCCTGAAGGCCTTATGGTCTCGAAATTGTCTCGACCATGTCGGGTCGAGACAATTTCAGGGCCAAGATAACTTACTGGTGAATGCTTGGTTATAGTCCGGCTGACCATAGTTCTTGTAGACCACGTCGTTTACGGTTGCACGGAGTATGGAGCACGCCAGATGGGCGTTTGCTTGCATGATAAGAGGGTCTTTATTCGGGTTCATTTTGAGCCGCTTTCCGTTCTCGGACGTCATGGAGGTCACCGCGGCCAGAATGCCGGCCAAAACGTCCCCCATGCCCCCCGGCCTCCTCGAGGCCGGTCCCGGGGACGGCACAACTACCTGGTAGGCTGTTGTCGTGGTGTAAATGATGTCGTCCTTCCCTTTCCTCAACAGGCAAATGTGGTTCGGCAAATGCGTTAAGTCCGATACTACAGGTCACCAGAACATTGCAAACAGTTCTCGCTGCGCGGTGCACCTTACGCAACGACAAATGTTGGTACTCCTTGTCATTCGGAGTCAGGTAATAGTTATTGTCAGGATTTTCGATCATCCACTTGAGCAAATCCGGCGTGAGAGAATGTCTCAAAGCATCTCCGTCAAATATCTACGCCGTCGACGGGTGGGTACATACTGCAAACACGCGTGTGTGCTTACGATGTTCACGCCGCTAAGGGTCCTTAACCGTATGAGTCTACAAATCATTTCTCTGGCGAAGGACTCTTTACCAAGGCCGCATCCGATGAGGAAGGTGCCGACGTGCGGCTTAGATGTTTCGCTGCTGAGCCAGGGCCAGGTGGGCGAAGCTTTGTTCACTTCGTCGAAAGGGTCGACGATGGCTTCGGGTAGAAGAGTCTTCAACGGCAGGGCGCTTGGGCTATCGCAGTGAATATACACCAAGTCGCATCCCTGCAGAAAAAGGGCTCGGGTGAGGTTCGGGTGGGGTGAGGTTCGGGTGGGGTGAGGTTCGGGTGGGGTGAGACTCGGGGGGGTGAGGTTCGGGTGGGGTGCGGTTCGGGTGGGGTGAGGTTCGGGTGGGGTGGGACTTACGGTACGGACGGCGGCTCGGGCGGCATAAAAGGGCGCACCAGTGTAGAGGCGGCTGCCTCCGACGATGGAGACCCTGCCCATGTCGCCTTTGCGCACTTCGCAGCGGTCGAAGGAGGAGAGGACACGCGCGATCATTATTATTATTATGGCAGGCTTAGTGCGTGCTCTGAAGGGTGATGCGCCGTATGTCGTGGGGGAGCGCTTCACTACGGCTGATGGCTCCCTGAACTGTAAGCGTGTTTGACTCTCAGGTTTAGTTATGAGAGAGATTTTGTAGAGGGTCCGGAAACGGGCGATCTGATCGTTTGTTTGCATGGGTTGAATGCGTCGCTTTCTCAGTACGGGCTGTTCAGCCACGTGTTTGCTAATTTAAACTATCGAGTGCTGCGTCTTGATTTCTACGGACATGGACTCTCGAGTGAATTCAAAGGTTCGAATGAACTTGAAGACTTGCTTCCCGCCTTAGTGCAGGGCGTCTACAGTGTACTCATGCACCTGAACCCACGACAAGCACCCTTTACACTGGTCGGCTTCTCGATGGGCGGCTATGTGGCGGTGGAGTTCACCGTGCGTTTCAAACACTTGGTTAAACAGTTAGTCCTACTGAGTCCGGCTGGCCTGATTGGCTACCAACCACGAGTCCTGCGACTGCTACGTCTACCCGTCGTTGGCTGCCTCTTCATGCTGTTCGTACGCGGGCTGTACACCATACTATGCCTCTTCATTCGCAACCGTGCCATGGTCGGATTCTACACTGCCGCGGACAGCGAAGAACACCTCGACCCTCTCGCACACGATTGGAGACGCATCAGCAAACGAAACCTTGCCAGCGCCATGAATTATGCACGCGCACTTGACCTCTGGTGCAACACTAGACCCTTCTTTAAACTCTCCCGCGCTCTCTATGGACCAACAGGCAAAATCAACCCCGACCATGACAAGGACTCCGCCGAACAACCCAGACTAACGATGTCCACCACGACCTCGTCCACTCTCCCTTCCCCACGGCAAGGCTCTACATCAACGGGGTTCCCCGGAGACAACAGAAGTTCTGACGGAAGACCCGGCACTGCACTCCAAGGTGGCCTCATGTTCTGTTGGGGCGCTGAAGACGAGACCACACCTCACAAGGACTACGAGGAGTTCCTCAAAGACCTCTTCCCGGATGCCGCGTGGGCCGTCTATCCTGACGCCTACCACCTCGTGCTACAAGAAGCCGTCCCAGACATCTTTCGAGACATGTATCAATTCATCAAAGGCAACACGATCCGGGAACCATACTCTAGAGACCTGCCTGTGGAACCGCAGTCTGTGGAACCGCAGCCTGTAGAGCCGCAGCCTGTGGAACCGCAGCCTGTGGGACCGCTGCCTGTGGAACTTCCGTGCATGGTCCCCGTGACGCCCACGCCGGCCATCGGGTCCATCGTGGGCTCCTCACTGGCCTCGGCCACCCCCGGCCTCAGTGCGGCCCTTCCTTCTAGCGTGATCGGGACAGTGGGGGTCGAGAACAGGGTCGAGACAGGGACGGGGGGGTCCCGAGGTTCTAGTTCGTACGGGGGTGTGCGAGTTAAGACCACTGCGACCAAACAGCCGCCTGCGACGCCGGCGACGGTGAGTACGGAGTCGGCCTATACCGGCGAGGGGTTTAATCCGACGACGACGCCGAACTGTTACTCGGCTGACGCTCCTTCTACGGTAAAGCTAAGGATTCAAGAGTTTGAGCGGCACACATGTGCACCGGCACACGTGTGTCACCGTGGCTCGGTGGCCGACAGGCGCTTTGCTTCAAGACCAGTATTCCATGACAGGTATTCCCACAACCATGGCAGGTATCAGGGCCATTACCCACAAAGTCACTATCCTCAAAATCAGCACGCTCAGGAGGGGGAACGGGATCACTTCGTGATGGAGTTGGGTGAGGAAGACTTCAGCAGTGCCGTGCGCAGACTGTCTGAAAAGGACAGCGTCTTCTATCCCGACCTTCACACCCCCCGCTCTCTACCGGTCGCACCGGAATCATGGGGTCCCGAGCCTTCGGCTCCAGAATCCTGGACTCAGGACTCGCGCCCACGACCTCTCCCAACCAACACTGCGCAGTTCACCCGGTCCGCCGTCGAACTGCCACCGGCCCCCCACCGTCCTGTCACCCGGATACGCTGCAGACAGTCGTCCAGGTCCAACGACTACAACCTGGCCCACTTCATGATGCGAGGCAAAATCGGCAGCAATGGAAGCAGAGTTCAGAACAACGGAAGCAGAGTTCCGAACAACGGGTAACAACCGAAACCCCCTGCGAAGCTTCCGCGTGGCGTCAGTCCGATGCAGCTGAGAGTCTCCGCTCAAAGGCTCCAGCACGCACGCGCGTTTTATCTGCCAAACACGAAGCCTCTGCCTGACCGACCTTATAGATAGGTTATAACAACACTGACTGAACTTCCCGGTGAACTCATCATCCCTCTCAATTTACTACTAAACTCATCATCCCTCAACTGATCACTGAAGTTCAACACTGAAGTTACTCACTGAAGTTCTAAAAATCAGCGTGGAGTAACCACCAAAAAATCTGCGTGGCCGGTCAGTGAAGGCGCGACCAATTTCGTCTAAGCAATATCGTGGGGGTTAGATCCCGTTCTGCGATCTAGGTTCATTTTGTTGATTGCATTCATATCGTCTTGGTCGAGCGCAAAGGTGAGAGTGGGTCCATAGTTTGCCTGTACGCGTTCGGGATGTTTCGACCTGGGCAGTACGGTATAGCCTTTCTGCATGCACCAGCGGATGAGTACATTGGCAGGAGAGACCTTATGTTTGTCGGCGATGGTTTGTATGGCCTTGTCTGAAATATTTTCTTGGACTGCCTTAGCGCTGCCGAGTGAGCTGTATGAGGTAAAGGTTATGTCGTATTCCTTGCAGAGCTTCTCGAGTGCCTCCGGTACTTGGCAGAATGCGGAGATCTCGATCTGGTTGACGAAGGGCATGCGAGCCTTCGGGCATCCGGCATCTTTTCTCTTCTTGATGTCTTCGACGAGAGGCAGGAGGTGCTGAACCATGTAGTTGCTTAAACCGATGGCGCGTACCTTACCCTCCGCATACAGCTCCTCGAAGGTCTTCCAGCAAGTAAGACGCGTCTCCGCGTTCTTCGGGTCCTTCATCATGCTCTCGTCCTGGCACCAGGCCACGTGGTTGCCCGGCCAGTGAAGCAACAACAAGTCGATTGAGGATCGCTGGAAGTCTTTCAGGTGCTGCTCCACCTGCTTTCTGATTCCCGCCGGGTCGAAGTTGGAGCACCAAATCTTCGTGGTAACGAACACCGCGCGGTCGTCAGTTGGCTTACCATGTGGCTTCTCAAACGACCCAAAGTACTCCGCCTCCGACACCACCTTAAACGGCGTCCCCTCCGCCGACGGGTCGAACTTAGACGCCTTCTTCATCTCCTCCTTACCAAACTTCGCCACTATCGGACCCGTCACGTGCTCATTGTTGTAACACTGTGCATCATCCAGCGCGTAATACCCCCCCTTCAGCGCCGCCTCTACCGCCACCGGCGTACTCGGCGCGTCCCCGTACAATTGCCAACAACCCAGACTCACCGCAGGCAACATCACGCCGTTCGCGAACTCCTTCACAAGCACACCCACCATCTTAAACCGCCAATATTTGGGCCTGAAAAGACCCTGACCTGAGGAGGGAGGCCTCCCGTCGCGTCCCCCCTTCGTGATTCGTCACCCACCTCACTGCGTGGAGTGGGCTCGGAATCGGGGTTTTGGTCCGTCAGGAGACGAGTCGAGCTATCTGCGTGGTCGGAGTCGGACGTTCCCTTGTGGCTC